CGCACTAGCGGGTGCCAGCGGCTGCCGGCCGAGGGTCGGGTGTGGGTCTGAGGGGTTAGTTGTGAAGGGGAAAACAAAGTTTTGCCAATGAAGACTCTTAACGAGCACCCCTCGGTGCGTTCTGGAAGGAGGACCCTCCTTGAGGGGCTCTCTCTACAAGACAAGGCCGGTAAGACCCGGGCTGGAAAGTCCGGTCCTTGAAGTTGCCTGTATATAGAGAGACATTTTGTAGTAGTTGCGTGGCCCTTACAGCAAGACAGAAGGGACACTTAAAAACCCGCTGCCCCTCCCCTGATCACCTCCGTTATCCGGAACAAGAGGCCTTGTTCAGAGTTGCTTACATTTTGTGTGCTTGCTATCCATGAGAAACAATGTATTGTTTACCGGGAAACTATAGGCTGCACAACTGTTTATCATCGCACATTGTAGGCCACACTAATGTTTCTCACTGCACCCAAGGCCACATACTAAATATTACATCCATACAGATGTTTCTCAGCTAATCCAAGGGCAGGTTGGACGCATGAGCTAGGTCAGCCTGTTCTTCAAACCACTAACAATAATTAGTAAGAAACTTCTAATCAGGAGCTACCGTTCTTGAAAAAAAGAAACATCCTGGAACATGGAAGCTTGTTAAAATTGTTTAATGTACATCAGCTTAATTAAGAGATTAGAGTGCTTCAAAAGCACCTGCCTGAAAAAAGACACTCACCCTTTGAGCCTGCACAGAAAAGTAAAAACTCACTGTAACTTTAAATTGGAGGAAGAGTATTACTAACCAATGACAGATTGAAGTGCGAAGGCTTGGACAACAGGCCCAAGCCAGAGCTGACCTACAGATGAACCCTGTATATTTTATAACTCATAACCATCCTGCTAACAGGTATTTTACTAAGTTATTACAAACCACCTATTCTGATGTAAATGTGGAGGTATTGAAGCCTGAGCAACAGGCCATGAGCCAAAGCTGCTAACTCAGTATGTGATCATTAGTGAAATATGTATGGAAGATGTAGCTATCTTATCTTTTCCTTCCTTTTTGTGTGGATAAAATAACAGTCATGGAGACAGTTGTCTGTCACTGAGGCCTAATCTGAGACTTTGCACATAATCCAATTAGAGAAGCAGAGGAACTCCCTTAGCTTCTCCCTTGAGTCTTGGCCAGCCTCTGAGGGAATCTAATGCGAGATTGAAACCAGATATTTCCACTTAAAACAAAGGTGCCAGCTATTCTGGTTTGCTGGTTTCCAGTATATTAGGCTGGACCCTCTTGCCGTGACTTTGGATGCCTCACCTACAGATGGACGCATCACATAGGACTTCGCACTTGCCGGGACAGGCTCTCCAAATCCTTGCTGGAACTGGGGCTCCCTAGTGTCTGCCGATCTGGATGATGGAAACATATGCAAGTGGTG